GTCTACGGGCATCAGAAAAAAGCATTACGTAAATTGCAAAACACATTAGATAAGCTAGAGCATCATGTGTAGTTTACCTGTTTATTAAATATCAATACACTATTCAAACGCCTTTACATACTGTATACAGAATGTATATGAGTGAGTGTATAGTAATGTAGTGTATAGTAAACAGTAAGTGATTCCTACATACAATTAAGGTAGTCTTAAACACTTTTATCAATCAATCAATTTATTTGTCTCTCAATTGAGTTTTAATGGCAAATATACGATAAAACGTGAAATGCAATGATAGTGTTGCCTCTCTTTTACACGCTTTTGTATCACTTCGTTGTCTTCCTCTTCATATTCTTTGTCTTTGTTTTCAATCATTTATTAAATAAAACGAAAAACAATGAAAACGAAAACTATTAAAGGTTTTAATATGAGCTAAAAGTACTCAAAACGCAGAACCAGAATATTCTGTAAGGAATTTCGCTCTCAAATTGATGGATAAGTTTTGTTCAATTTGTTATAATCAAGTCTACTCAGTATTGTATAACTATGAGTTACGGCTTACTTCAAGAATTTCTTATTTGGATTTAGCATTAGTTGAATGAAATTTAATCGTGATCAAATTAAAATACATCAATTATATTCAGTGTTTGACTTTACAAAAATAGTATATTAATTGTAGAAACAAAATATTTTGTAAAAATAATGAAAATTCATCAAAATTGAGTCCCAAAAGGCTGTGCATCGCATACCGATTGTGTATTGCATTGACATTTGAAAGCACGGGTCTGACACACCTGTAGTTAGTGTACTATAAACTTCTTATTCACATCAATGCCCACTCTTTGTTAAATAATAGAAATGTTGTGAAATATTAATTTTTAAATATTAATTTTTAAGTAAAAGACGATTTATATTTTTATTATAATGTTTATATTATAATTTTGATGTTTTATTTAGAATTGCAAAATAATAATTAGGGTATCATTCTATTTTTATTTGATAAGTTTAGTTTTTATTTCTAGAATAATCAATTATATGACAACGTTGTACAAAACAATAATTATGGATAAGCTAGATATACAAAACTAAACATAAATAAATTTAGAAATAAAATAATTTATATGATATTACGGTATATAATTATGGTACAATACCGTAATATTTTTGTAATTATTTAATTATGTTATAATTCACATTTGTATTTACATTTATATAATATTTTTTCGTGATTTTAGTAATTTTTTTGTTATTTGATATTTGTGCCATTTAAAAAATTATTATCATTTATATAAATGCTTCATGGTTATATTAGTTATTCGTAATTACAAAAATAGTAATCTAAGGATTCTGAATTATGCTCCCATATTGACAATTTTTAAAATAATTTTTATGATATTTATTTGATAATAATATAATATTAAATTAAAATTGAATAAATGCTAATAATATTAGATAATTATACAAATTGTACTAAAAATAAAGCTACCATATTTAATCACCAGAAATAATTAGACAATATACCAATTGATCAAATATGATATCTAATATTTTATACAATTATTTATTATTTAATAGATTTAAAGACATTATATATCAAAATAAAATCATGAAGACGTCCATATTTTTAATAATAAACGAAAGTATTTGTTATATTTAGAGACTTATCTAAAAAACAAAACCATTATACGTTATTCCGGTTCACGCGTTGCACACAAAACCATAAATGTTTCGTAGATATAATGATATAATATTTCGTAAAAACAATTTTTATTTTTAGTTAAAATTAAAATTTATTGATATTTGTGTAAATATATAATGTTTTGAGTTTAATAATCAGTAAATGGCTTTAATATAAAGTACACTGACTTACCATAAGGTTTAAGAAAAATGTCTTTGTTTTTCACATTATATTACTGTCTCAGCCCACCTGCGAGAAAATGTGATTGCAGTGTTAGGTGTAATGTATTTATCTATAAAAACCTTTCTTTACATGAATTGAATCAAATTTAATTAAATTAAATTTCAAATTTTTACCTTGATTTTAATTCAATACACTCGAGTTCAAATTTAAATAAAAAACATGCCTATCTTATATTATATATTAATAAGGTCAATATTCTATATTTGAAAACTTACAATATACAGTATTTAATTTTTTAAATAAAGTAACTGATATTGATCGTCATTATGGTATATAAATTTAAATGTGTGTATCTCATTTAACTAATCCAGGTGCGATTGGTTAAGTACCAACTCATCGGGAAGCCGCGGTCGACTTATTCGACTAAAATCCTAGTAGACTAATGATAAAAGTAAATACTACTACACATAAAATTTTGGTCAAATTTGACGTATTTCTAAAAATAATTAAGATCATTCGGTAAAATAATAGAGTTTTAATGTAAAAGCCATTTCAGATATAGGGGGCCGACACTGTATGTGCTGAATAAAATAATTTAATTATCAATAAAAAATAAGTAAAAATAATAATAATAAATAAATTGAACCGTTTATTATTTAAATTGTGTTTATTTTAAAATGTTTATTTCTTATACAATTAAAGGACAATTGTTTTTGTTATTTTATAGTTTATTATATAATTTTAATCATAAAAAGAGCGAATAAAATTTTAACTAAAAAGCATCAGACATTTCAATACAATTATATCGAAATACAATACTGTATTATACACTGAATATATTTTATTTAATATTTATATATTCAAATCATTTTGTATACAATAAGTGAATGATTGATGTATTGATAAAATTTAGTTTTAATTTCTACATAATATTACAATGTCTTAAATAAAATAGAGATGCGATTTTGATTAACTTTATTATATTCATTATTATCATTCATATTGATTGATGTGAATAACTATTGCCAAATACAATGTGAAACAAAGATTGCTACAATTTTATCTCGTTTATTGTCACTTAAAATATAGTTGTAATTTTAATTCGTTAACAAATGCTGATAACAAACAAACTCATTGATTGTTAAATGATTGATAAAATGAATATTTAAATCATTATAAAATTATATGCAAAACAAAAGCAATAGTTATTTAAAAACATAAAAATACACTCATGGTGACCAGAAAAGGCTTAAAACAACAAAATAAATAATCATATCTTAACTCTAGTCGCTAATAATCGGGTAATATATACCGATAGGGTATTGGATCTAATGGTGAGGAGTAGACGGCCGATGAAGAGCCTGAGGTGGAGGAGGAGGACGGGTAGGCATAGTGTTGAGCGCCGGGAGAGTAGGACTTTTTGAACCGAAAGCCTTCACCAGATTTAATGCATTCCTCGAAAAGTTTAAGTATCCGTCGCTGTTGTGAAGACGGAGGCATATATGACGGTGTCTTCATCCGGATCTCCATTGCGTTATTGATTATGCCTTTAATTGTTAGCATTTTTGTTGTTAAAACATATTTTTAACGTATTGTCATTAAATTAGAATTTATATTTAATGTAGAATATAAATGAACTAGGTTTTAAAATTTGCCTTTGAGTTCTATATTTTTTCATATTCAATAATTTCAGTATTAAATTTCTAAATCTAGAGTTTTAATTAAACATTTAGTGAATTGTCAACAATGTATTTCAATGTGAGCTTTATTTATACAAATCTCTCTCTCTCTCTCTCTCTCTCTCTCTCTCTCCTTTCTCTATCTCTTACACACAATACTTACAATACTTATACATTTTGTATATAAAAAATATATATAAACTTAATAAATTCAATCTTAAGTGAATACTCAAACAAAACTCATTTGCAATTAAACTGAATATATAGGAAGTTTATAGTATTCAATAAAAACTTGAAAAACAATTATCAAAAAAGCATAAAATATTGTGTAATATAATTGTAACTGTAATATAAATACCTCTATTGTTAGCATCCATACAGTGCCAGCGTTCGGGCGCTTTGAAGCGCTTGTAAGCCATCGCTATAATACACTCCAACGAAATGGTAAAATAGATGACAAACACTAATAAAACAATTGTTTTCATTGTTTAGATTTTTTGTGAAGAAAGTTAGCCTCTGGTAAAAAAGTTGACGACAAGAACTGTTTGGTTACTGTATGTGTGAATTGTGTGGAGACAAACACTACAGTAATATTACATTAATAACATTAATCGAGATGAAAGTTTTCTCTCTCCACTTCGCACTATCAACAAGTCGTCGCTCAGGTCTGACAGCACTCTCCAAATGCGTTCGCTATCCGTGCGATTGATATATAAATAAAAGAGAGATTCCGAGAGAGAGAGAGAGAGAGAGAGAGAGATTTGTATAAATAAAGCTCACATTGAAATACATTGTTGACAATTCACTAAATGTTTAATTAAAACTCTAGATTTAGAAATTTAATACTGA